AAAAAATATAAAAAAAAAAAAAAAAAAAAAAAAAAAAAAAAAAACTTACTAAGGCATTTCATTGAGCAGAATGAGCTCACCCAAGTGATCAAAGATTGGACGACAGGTTAAATAAATACAAAGCCATACGTGTGTCCAACGAGAGCAACATTTGCATCCTCATTGTGAGCAGCAACGGCCATGGAATCACTAACGACTAGAACATCAGAACAATCATCTGAAGTATTTACAGTCAAAGAACTACTCAATTCTGTCTTTGGAAGAAATGGAAGAATCTCTTTCCTGAAGTTAATAAGTATTATCTGCACAAATAAACAAAAACGACATTCACCCCACAAACCAAAAAATACACCCCATCAGTGTTATAACACAGTTTTTAACCGTTGGATTACATCAAAATCAAATCAAATTAAGTAAAATATGAAAACTTAATAAAACGAAGATTTGACGGTTAAAAACTGTGTTTAGCAGACTTACATCAAGAAGAGGCACGCCACTTCCTTGTGCCATCCCCACTAGCTCATCCCAATATCTTGGAAACCTGTTTCTGTTGTTGGAAGTGAGAGATTGAATCAACGGCTGAGATTGTTTGGATTGGGCAAAAGGGCGAAGCTGGTTTTGCAGAATAAGGTCGTTGGCCAACCTGCTTCTTATCAGGTTTGAGAATCTCTGGCCTATCTGAAAGCCTATCTTGTGAGCATCTTTGCAAGGCCCAACTTGGAACATCTCCAAGGTTTTTGCTTCCATTGCTGAGAAGTGAGAAGCTCCTCTTTCTCAGGTGATGAATTTCAACGACAACAAAACTGTAGTATATGCTAATCTTATCCTCGTTCTCTGTTCTTATATATTCATTGATTTTATCAGCATGCGTTGATAGCGTTTTAGAATAAAAGGAAATTAATCTGTTTTATCCGTAAGAAGCGAAAACATTCCTTGTAGAGCCGAGGTTGTATAAGATTTGCTAACGTAGGGATCGAACCATAGACCTTGTGGATAAGAAACAAGGTTCTTTGATTACCATGGTCAATTTCAAATTTACCCCTGAAGAATAGGGATTGTATCACTTTGGCCCTACAGTTTAAAATGGCACAAAATTGGTCCCTGAACTTGTCAGAAGTTGCAGTTTTAGTACTTTCATCAATGAAACGTTAATCTTTTAGGAGACGTTTAGTTCATGAATTAGAATCATAAGATTAGAACCATTTTCGATTTATGTGTATTTTTTGTGAGAGAAAACAC